AGATTTGTTGTACTGCCTAGCTAGTTCAACAACCTGTGCACCATTTTGATGTTTATGAATGCTCTCTTGTTTTTCCTCTATGGTCATTCTCACATGTGTTTTCTTGGCTTGAACCTTACCACTGGCTTTCTTGGGACTCATGGCAAGATATATCATAACAAATTTTATGTTCAAATAGCCAAAAATCCCAAAACAAATGTAATGCTTTACAAAGAATTCAGGCGCGATACTTACTAGGCAGGAGACACTGGTAAACTGAGGCGCGATCACCATGCCACCACGCGCTAGGTCAGCCCATACGTATATCAACAAACTCCTTTCCCGAGGCAAAGTTTGTAACCCGATTCAAATTTTTCGAAGAAATTAGGCTCGTAACCCGAAAAGTTCATAAATATTCATTCGTAAGCCGAGGTGTCACTATATATAACTAAAAAATTAAACTCAGGATTACTTTCAACCCCCACCCCTTTTGCTCTACTCCATCGCCACCTACCTTCACCCCCCTCTATGATGTACTCTTCCATAGACACCTACCTTTGCCCCCCTCCTCCCCTCTACTCCTCCATCATCACCTACCTTCACACCCCCCTCCCTTCTCCTCCTCCATCGTCACCTTCCTTTCACCCTCCTCTATGATGTACTCTTCCATAGACACCTACGTTCACTGCATATAATGCTCCCCTCTACTCCTCCATCGTCACCTACTTTCACCCCCCCCTCCGCTCTACTCCTCCAGGGTCGCAGACAATTTCACGAGCGTGAGAACTACGAGTTCTCTAACCACTCTCACACTCCTACTCTCTCACCAGTGAGGGGGAGGGAAGGAGGGAGGAAATGAAGGAAGAAAGGTGGGGGAGAGAGAATAGGCAGGGGGGAGGAGGGCCTAGATACATTTCTTCCATATAGATAGGTAGACTGAGGGAGAGCTGCTTGCCAAGAGCCCTATCAGACAGGCTTCCTATTCCTCAACCCTCCCTAATATGCCACATCCTGGTCAGGACAACTTGCTCGATTGTTATTCTTGGTGTGACTCGAGAACTGACCTCGAGGCGGGGCATGGGCATGGATTATCTCCCTGGGGCACGCACCTCCCTGCCCCAGCTCTCTCTCTCTCTCACATAATCTATCAAGGGTCTAACATGAGGTCATTGTGCCTACCAGAAGTGTATATGTCCAAGGCTGGCCACCTGTCTGGACCATTCAAATGTATAAACACGTAATTAGTCTATTAAAATTATATATAATGCTACAATTATAAATTAATTTGTTCATGGTCATTCGTTTATCAGTATTTTAATATGAGGTATATATACGCATGTATGTATACGTTGACGTACACATATATGATTATGTGTATGGAATGATTATGATTATGTGTAATCATATATGATTATATCTAATGGAATGCATTAGTAAGTGATGTGGTGGAGGCTGACTCCATACACAGGTTCAAGTGTAGATATGATAGAGCCCAATAGGCTCAGAAACCTGTACACCTGTTGATTGACGGTTGAGAGGTGGAACTAAAGAGCCAGAGCTCAACCCCAGCAAGCACAATTAGGCGAGTATATGAACGAATGCACATGTACACTTTCAAATGAATTAAGATACCTTGAGATACACAATGACTTAGTTTAAATAGTTTAAACACATTATGGTACTGATTTTGACATGCTGATGTCTGGAAGGGAGAGGGGGTGTGGGGGGTTATTGTCTGAGGTGGAGGACCAGAGGAGGGGGTCAGTGGAAGGATGGTGGCTGGAGGGATGCCATTGTTCTAATGGTTATGAAAACAATTATTGATGGCAGGAATTCAGTGGGTGTGTACTTCACCCGCACCATCACCATACTGTGCCCTGCTACAACCCCCCCCCCCACTCCACCCATGCTGTGCGGGGCGTATTACACATTATGGGATAACCGACTGTCTGTCCATTCCTGTCTGCTCGTTATGCTGCCCTTCCTTTTGAAAATTGTCTGCTTTATCGACTTCCTTCAAGACCACACGTTAGCCTCTTATCACGCCCTCTTACCACTCTCAGGGAGCCGGCTCTTCTATACAATAGTTACCACTCAGTCCCCAAGGTGAAAGAGTGTCCGGGCATATGACTTGTTACGTGTACTTATTTGCGATTCGTTTGGGCTGTCACGTGTGGTGATTAGTGTTGGGTAAGGCTAGGCCAGGTCAGGTCAGACTAGGCCAGGTCAGACTAGGCTAGGTAAGGTCTAGGCTAGGTCAGGTCAGGTAAGTCTAAGGCCAGGTCAGGTCTGGCTAGGCCAGGTCTGGTCTGGTCAGGTCTGGCTAGGCCAGGTCAGGCCAGGCCAGGCTAGGCAGGGTGAGAGAAGTAAAGCGGCAGGTACTTACGTTTCCGAGAAAGTAGCGGCGGTAGTATATTGTTGATTTAGATTCGACGACATCCTGAAGCTAGTAGGTGGCGGCCTCATCGCTCTCGAACTTCTTGTTGTTGTAGGGGATACGAGGCACACCCAATATCCCCCTTACATTGATCACATCGCACACTAATATTTTTACTATTTCGGACACCAGATTTGTCTGTTTCGTATATGTATAATTGTTCAATATTAAAACCACAATAGAATGCTCTTAACAGTTACAATTTTCAACTTAACAGCCATATAGTTGGCAAGAACGCCGCCCGCCAGTGCAAATGTCTCAGACCCTGTTGGAATATAACCAGTCTGTCAATCGGGTCAACCCAAGTGTTGCGTTTCCATGCGTTTCCAAAAGGGTCGCCCAGATCTAGTTTCTGACCTATTTACTGTTAAGTAACAGGGTGGGCATCAGGGAGAAACAAACTCTGCCCATTTTCTTTTGCCATCACTAGAGATCGAATCCGGACCCTAGGATTACGAATTCAGAGCGCTGTCCACTCAGCTATCAGGCCCCATCAGGTTTCAGCTGTATGGGCACCTCTACAGTTTCTAAACCCATGTTGCCTGGTGTCATACTTCTCTTCCTCTTTCATGTACTTCACAGGTCTGATTGTTTTTTCGAATATTTTGCCTGGTACTTTGAGGAGGGAAATTGGTCTGTAATTTTCAGTTTGGGTTGAGTGTTTTCCTGGCTTGGGGATTAATCTGATTGTGTCATTCTTGAAATATGTGGGGAATAGTCTATATACAAGAGCTGCATTTACTGTACATATGTACTGATGGAGTGCAATCACTGGTAGGTTGGTTAATATCATTTTATTTATCTTGCTGTTGCCCAACACCTTGTTCTTGAAACCTATAACTGTTGCATGGACCTCTGCAATGGTTGTGTTTTTCATAAGGTGGCATTCATTGGAGATGTTGTTAAGGTATATAGTTTGTGCTGGGAGTAGTGTTGCAGCTCTGTTATCGACTTGAGATACTGTATTTCCCTGTCATCGATGGGGCAAAAGATTACATTTTTTCCAGGTTTATCCTGAATATTTTTTTCAGGATAAAAAGAATGGTGCTACATAGTCTTCCCAGCTTGGCACCTTTTCATAATTACATACATTATGTGGGGGATTTGTGGTTGTTGCATAATCTGAGAGATGCTCTTTGCTATGGTGCTAGTGATCTGTTTAAAGAATGGTGCATTTCTTGAATGGTACAAGTACACCTGTTTGCTGGGTGACATCGTCAGCGTATGTGATGTATTCTCCATGTTGGGGTTGGGGTAGGTCAGCTGTATATATGTTGAATAGAGTGGGAGAGAGGCAGCTTCCTCTCCATGAGAGCTTCCATTTACAACTTGGCATGAGTACATCTGATTAATGCATGGTGTTAGGGTTTCAGTTTTGTTCGTGGTGTGCAGGAGGTGTTCTGTATCTAGGCTCTTATCCAAGCATGTTATGGCCTGCAACTTTATTTTTTATAATTTTTTAATATTCCAGAATTCCAATACTCTGGCCTTTTGAGCATAATGAATGCTGTCTGGTTACCTGAAATTCCAGGAGGATTGGGGTGACATCTGGAATGTTTGTACAGGTTGGCATCACTTTTATTAATTGATTTTGGTTCTCAATCTTGATTGTATTTAAGGGTTCATTAAAAACAGTACTAGTATGTCATTTGCATTGGAGAAGAAATTACCCATTTTTCAGTTATGATTTTTTCTTCCAATCCCTGCATGCATAACACCTGCATATTTTGTTTGCTTTTAATGCCTCTGTGGTTTTTGTAGTAGCGATCAAGTACAATATTCTGCTCTAAAGTCTTGTTAATTTGAGTTGTATTATCTTCCTGAGCAAGGCAAGCCTTTACTCCTATTCCTTCAGTCCAGAATTTCAGTGGGAAAAAAAAAAAAACTAATTGGGCATGTTGTGAGAAGGGCAGTGTCAAGGATCACAGTCAACATATTGCTGCCGACATCTGGTCCGAGCAGCTGCCAGTGGGCCATCTAGTGATTACCAGAACACATCTTCGTGTGTCTGTAGCCTACTCCCAGAAAACCTTTATAACCACAGCTCAGTGAGGAGCCAGGCTTTTTAGCCAGAACCTGTCCAATTCACAGTATAATTTCAACCTTTGTTCTGTAAACTTGAAAAGTTATCAGCCTTTTGATGCTTATGGGTCCCATAGTACAGTGGTCTATGTTCTTGACTCGTGATCAAGGATCCTGGTTTGATTCCTGGGCAGGACAAATAGTTGGGCATATTTCCTTTCAATTGATACAATGTTCACATAGCAGTAGACAGGTACTGGGAAGTTATGCAAATGTTATAGGTTGCATCCTGGAGAAGGTGCGTAGTTGGTCTAGAGGACTTCTAGAAGCTTCGGTACAGTACAGTCTCGCCTTGACAAGGGAAATTATAGTACTCTCTTGATTGGATGGGGTTTGATTGTAGGTAACAATTAGAGGTCATTCCATGGGTGGACTTTTTTCTAGTCCACTATGTTCATTACTATATCAAGTTGACATTTTCATTAACGATGTGGAGAGCAACCAGGTGCACACACACAGGACACGTGCACCTGTGATATCCGAGGAAAATTATACAAACACCTTCTTGTAAAATTATTTTATGTAAAATTTGTCAATAATAAAAATGTTCACATCCTTCAAGTTACATTCTAAAATACTGCCAAAACATCAGGGTCGGCCCGTAGCTTCAGAAGTGTGACCTTAAAAAACAACAAAAAAGGAAAACACAAAACTTACATATAATACAAACTTTACAATGATACAAAGAAGGGATCAGACAAATAGTCACCATTTCAAGGGATGAACTTAACCAGGAGTTTAACATCCATAAAAAAAATCACTTTCATCATTTAAGCTGCATCCATGAATATTGCATTGCAGTGGATGTAAGTGTGGCATGAGAGAGGGCTCAACAATTTGTACAATGCTGATGTCATAATAGACATTTTGATCAACCAGTGCAGCGGGGCAGACGTATAAGCACCTTCCTTGACGCATTTTATGCTGGAAATGACCACGGCAAACCTGCCTTTATATATCATTTACTGTCACGTAACTCATCATACAGCACAACTCCACGAATAGAAAATCAAAATCTCCCCCCTCCCCACACATATATATGACAACAAGACTGATTGTCAGTTTTAGGAAATTAACGATTCCAGTAAAACAACAGTAACGAAGTTTTTTAGCTGCACCGTCACACAGCACTGGTGATGGCACTGGCCATGCCACTGAGCAACACCACCACCTCTGTGGGCTGCTTGAGGGGGCACCAGAACAACTGTTAAGTGAAGTCAGTACTTAAGCGACGTGTGGCTTACAGGAGGCCGGCTCATACCACTCACTGCCTGGGCCACCACGCCAGACGCTGCACATGAGCTGGGCCATCCCATGCCAGGCACCACACATCTGAGCCGGGTCACACCGCCTTTGTTCCACCGCAGCACTGCACTGGCAATAAATCTTCAAGCAGTCAACAACCACTGAAGGACAGATAGGTGAACAGAGCAAGAATAACTTACACTACAAAGCACCCCATTAACAGTATTGAAACTACAAACTTACAAGTTGCCCTGAAAAGTGAGAACTGAGTGGACTGTGCGGGGTAGGGGGGCAACCCCACCACTGGACGGGCACACGGGTGGGTGGGGAGGGGCGACCCTCACACCCGCCACGGGTCACTGGTCAGGGGGGCGAGGGGCCGCGGGGGAGGGGGCACGCCACCACCACCACCACCACCACACTTGAGCAGGATCACCACCACCGTCACAACCACCACCACTGGTGGCCAGCAGGGGTGAAGGGAGGGGTAGAGTTGCATAGTGGTGAGTGTGCTGGGCGGCAGCTGCTAGCACCAGGTCACCTGTGAGGTAGATTTCCCCACGCCTCACTTGGGGTTAAATGGGAAGCTCTGGCCAGGCATAGGCCCAGGACCAGGCATGCCTGGCCCTCCTGGTGGACCTGTTACAACAGGCCCTCCTGGTCCACCAGGGCCACCCATGGATCCAGGCATGGGCATGCTGGGACCCCCACGGGTGTTGGTGGCATACAGCTGCTGCTGGAAGCTGTGGAACTGGGCGGCATACGTTGGGTCAGCAGTGGTTGGACCCATAAATGGAGAGTTCTTGAAACTACCTGATTGCCCCATAGATGGAGGAAGAGGTTGCGCTGTGTCTGGTGCCCCACCCATAGGTCCACCCATGTTCATGCCCACAGGAGATGTCTTAGGTCCATACATGGGGCCTGACCCACTTAACATTTGATTAGGGCCACCAGGGTTTGGACCTGGGCCAGTGGACATAGGGCCTCCACTCATGTTAGGGCCGGGTCCTCCCATGGCATACATATCACTACCCATACCTCCCATCATACCACCTGGACTGGGTCCACGCATCATGGGTCCCCCACCACGAGGCCCCATCATTTGACTTCCAGGACCCATGCCGCCACCACCCATCATATTAGGATTCATCCCCATTGGTCCATTAGGGCCCATCATGGGTCCATTTGGCCCACCCATGGGTCCATTAGGGCCCATCATAGGCCCACTGTGTCCACTCATCCCACCTGGCCCTCCCATGTGGCCACCCATTGGACCATTTGGACCCATACCCATTGGACCATTGGGGCCTGACATGGGACCACCTGGTCCAGACATGGGGAAAGGTCCATTAGGTCCACTCATGTTACTCATATTATTACTCATATTAACCATAGGTCCATTAGGTCCAGCCATAGTACACATAGGTCCACCCATTGGTCCACCCGGGCCACCCATTGGTCCACCTGGGCCACCCATTGGTCCATTCATAGGTCCAGACATATGTCCTGTCATTGGCCCGCATGGCCCACTCATGGCCATAGTCGACATTGGCACATTGGACCCACACATAGAATTAGGCGTACTACTGTTTGGGAACATTGGTGAATTGGGCACTTTACTATCCACATTCGGATTATTAAACCTTGGTAAAAAGTCCAAGCTTGGAGGTCCTCTAGGACCATTTCCAGTGTTTTGTGGTCTAGCTGGCAGGTACTGTATAGTATTTGGAGCACTTGGTTTCACTTGCACATTTGCACCAGGATACGGACCAGCCATAGTACAGTTAGGAGCGGGCGGTCGTACCATACTGTTAGGACCACCCATTCGAGCGTTGGGGCCACCCATCATGGACATACTGCTGGGAGAAGTTCCTCTTGGACCACCACCACTGCACACTGGAGAGGTGATAGATACGTGACTCTGCATCATGCCTGGGCTTGATGATACTGGAGGCATCCCCATTCCCATTCCAGGACCATCCATCATGCCTCCACCTGGCCCTCCAGGCATGACAGGCCCGCCTGGCATGAGAGACATACCAGGTCCTGGTATGGAAGGTCCTCCAGGCATTCCAGGTCCTGACATATTAGGTACTGTAGACATTCCTCCAGGTCCACAAGGCATACCAGGTCCACCCGGCATACCTGGTCCACCCGGCATACCAGGTCCACCCGGCATACCAGGTCCACCCGGCATACCTGGTCCACCAGGCATACCAGGTCCACCCGGCATACCAGGTCCACCCGGCATACCTGGTCCACCAGGCATACCAGGCCCACCAGGCATTCCTGGGCCACTTGGTATGTTAGGACCACTGGGCCCAGATGAGCCACCTGCACCCATGGCAGGTCCTGTCCCAGTGGGCATGGTGGGTGTGGGTGCAGAAGACACTGGAGGTGAGGAACCAGAAGCTCCTGAAGTTAGTTGCTGACTCATTTGAGCCATAGAAGAGATGGGGTCAAACACCTTGCCAGGACCTGATACAGGCAGACCACCCGGTGTGCTGCAGTTGGGGTTGAGGGGCAAGTTGGCTGCAGTTGGATTATGGAAGTCTCCTGCCATGTCCATAGATGCAATCTTGCCTGGAGACATAGAAAACCCACTACTCATCTTGCCCATTATTTGGTTGTTATTTCCTGATGCAGGCGTGGGTCCACCCACTGGTCCAGGGAATCGTGCTCCTATGGGCGTCATATCGCTTCCGGGCCCCCCTGTTCCGCCAGACTGTAGAGGTGAAGCTCCTGGGAATCGAGGCATGCTGTCAGCCCCACTGGGAGTAGTTGGACCACTGCACATGCTGGGAGTCTTAGGTGATGGCACTGGAAATCTAGAGTCCATCGAAGGAGTTTTTGGGCCACTTTGACTACCACTGTTACTGTTGTTGGAATTATTACTATTATTACTATTATTATTGTTGTTATTATTACTGTTGCTGTTACTGTTGTTGTTACTACTATTATTGCTATTATTGTTGGTAGGGGTTGTTGTGGCACTAGAGTTCGCTGACTGAGCTTGCGGTGATGGACCAGTATACCGTTGTTGAGATCCCTTATTTTCTGGTGTTGCTTGAGGTGTGTGCGGCGCAGAGGGCACTGGCATGCCTGGTGATGGCACAGGGAAGCGATCTGGTGTGTGTGGGCCTGTGAACCGTGGTGTTGGCTCCGAGGATGGGGTGAGAGGGGTTGTGGGACCACCCAAGGGCGTGCCTGGACCAGATACTCTGCTCCCATCTACACTCGTGTCTAACCTGTAATACACACAATATTAATACAAAATAAGGGTCAGAGTCAGTACTCTGATAATTTCATGTAACAAATACATCTACTGTATTTGAGGCTTCTACATGCATGCAAAGGCTATACAGTACCATCATATTTTTATCACTAAATGACATTTTCCACATTTTCAAGAAATATTATAATTCAAAATAAAATAGGTATAACTTATAATTTTTCAACTCTTTTTGAACAAATAATCCCCCAGGCTCATGGTAACCAACAACACTTACATAGTGTAGCCCAATGATAGCTATTGTTTGCACATTATTATTTTGGGGGGTTGAGGTATACTGCACATATTTTTTAATTTGGCCAAGGCGGGCCCAGAGTTGTATCATCGGCGAAGAAAACAAAACATTCAATGAGCTGGTGCAGAATGAATTCCATGAACAGATCTAGTGAATGCTTGGCCCATCCTCTACTTGAGAGTCATACAATTCCCAAATGATTGATTACAATAAATCTTTTTCTCAATTCACTTTGTCTATTACCATTTTTATTAGCAATGTTAAGCAATTACCAAAAGAAGGTGCCAAGGTATTAACATTAACACGCCTCTCCTTATTAAGGGGCCTTGTCCACGTGGTGTTCATTGGCACATCATAATAAATCTTTTGTCCTAGAGTTGTATCCCAACTACCACAGCTTCCACATTGTGCTCATCTTGCAGAGAAATGTTTGTCAAAATCAGTTGCTCCTTTATGAGCACTACTACACTCATTCCTGTCTTGTCAGTACTTCCTCCACACTGTATTACTCTTCTATGTCCCTTTATGTAGATTGCCTAATTCTTTAAGACTCTTCTCAAGCTTCATTTCTGTTAACGAGGCCATTTCATCATTCTGTTCCAAAACGTTGTAGCAAATTAACACTCGCTCGCTCCGGGTGTGTACTTCGTTTGTATGCACGAACTACTCCTGGCGGTGTGGTCGAGCATGCGGGCGAGAGTGTGGTGTATATATTTCGGTATACACCAAAACATACACTGTATACTCAAGTATACACATTTCAGTATACACCAAAATGTGTATACTCGTTTGTTTTCTCACCTTAATTCTCGTGCTATGTCGTTCGTTTTGGCATCATTGTGTTCGCAATAGAATTCCCTACAGGTGTATATGCATATAATGTCCAAAAGCCCAGCGTGACTCCCCATAGCGAAGCCTAAATTCGGCAAAAGTTACCTGCGAGCGCACAAAATCAGTAAAATGCTTATTCTCGGTTCAGTTTCCTCACCTTAATTCTCGTGCAACGTCGTTTGTTTAGGTATCATTGTGTTCGCAATTAAATTCCCTGTAGGTGTATATGCATATATTGTCCAAAAGCCCAGCGTAACTCCCCTTAGCAAAGCCTAAGATACCCGTGAATGAGCACCAATTGGTACACCCGCAACTTAATGTGTATACTCGTTCGATTTGATAACATCAATTTTCGTGTTAGGTCGCTCGTTTTGGTATCAAATTGTTCGCAATATAAATGCGCATATTTTAAAACTAGTACCATAATAATAGAGCAATAAATAGAATTTTAACAAATATTTAAAAATTTGTACCAAAAACGTATTTATAATCTTTCCAGTGTTCTGACATCAATTTTTGTGTTACATCTTTCATTTGGGTATCAAATTGTGCACAATCTAAAGGCGCTCATTTTAAAACCACTCCCAGATTGATTGGATAAAATTTACATTTTTAACAAATATTTTAAAAAGCGGACGCCGCTCGCGTCACCAACTCGGACACATGAGAAAAATTGGTAATGCCAGCGGTGTTACCGGAGAACGAAAGTGTTAATTGTTACTGGTATAAAACATCCTAATAAACTTAAAATTTTAGGAAGAAAAAGATTAGTCATTCTTGTTTGTCTTCATTCCTTATATTTGCAGGGTCTTCCCTTCCTGAACCATCTTATTTGATCCCTCAGTCCTATCATCTCAAAATTTTTAACAAATTACAAAAAAAAAAAATCAAGTTAATCTTTTTAATTCCTAACTGCTTAGCTGTCTGTAGGTGACCTTGTAGCATCCTCCCATCCAGTCGTCAAGATATCTCTTCTTACTATGACTCTTGAACATTCTTCCACATCATTTACCTTCTCTGCAGCACCATTTGGTCCGGGAGACATCTCCCGTCATGCTGGGTGCAGTCGCACCTCCACAGATCTCCAGTATCAGCTCTTGATACTGGTGATGGCTCAAAAGGGCCACCACTTACGGGCTATTCATGCCCGTGCCACCTTTTGGGTGGCTTAATCTTCATCAATCATCCATCTTCTCTGCAGTTTTAATCTTTATCTGTCTAGACCTGCCGTTTATTATATTTAACGTATGCCTGAGGAGTTCAGAGATGCGCGATCGATTCCATCGTATGGCCTCAACACTTATTCATGGATTCATTACATTCTTGTGATTCCATTTTGCTTTAGTGGTCTACTTTTGATAATCAAATATTTTTCTGTTGTCTTCTAATTCAACATATTCTCTTTAAGCATTTATAAGCATTTACATTTAAGCACATAGTTGCGTGACAGACACTAACTAAATGCATTTATTTCTAGAATTTGTTAACTAAACCATAACAGTGTCTGTTTTTCAGATTTATATTACTATTATTATTTTTGTGAACTCTCAGAAATAATAATATGTCATACATGATTGGGAGCAATGATGACTAAAAAGCATACATACATGCAATGTGACCTGTTATGGAAATTTTGACTATTACAGACAGTAATTCAATCCGAGATGGATATATTAAATTGTTAATAGTGTTATTTACAAGTTAAGAATATAATTTGCGCTAACAACTTACGGAGACATAATATCGGTGTCACGAAGGCTGGTGTTTGGTTGTTTCTGAATGGTCAGTTCCTGACCTTCAAAGGTACTGAGGTATTGTATCTGTTGAGGAGACGGAACTGGCATAAGGTTGGGTTCCTTCCCTCCTTGCTGCTGCTGCTGCTGCTGCTGCTGTTGCTGCTGTTGCTGCTGTTGCTGCTGCTGCTGTCCTGGTTGCTGGTGTTTTTGTTGAGCCAAGGTTTGCAACTGTCTCCCAAAGGACGTGTCTCCTGTAACAACAACAACAACGTTACAGTGTTTCTCAAAGCCAAATATGCTTTGATTGTTTTCCTCACACGGAAGCTTCTTGTGGATGCATACTGCTAGTCTTAGTTTTATTAAACAGTAGTATCCTCCTCAGTCACATTGTAATGTGTAATACAAAGCTTCATTTATTATTATTAAGCCACTGTATTCATCATTTTCCTCATGCACATTATTGTAATCAAAATGAAAGTCATTACGAAGAGATGCAGAACAATGAAACGGTAGTTCTTTAAGGTTTAGGACAATAAGACAAAACAGCAGATACACTGGACAGAAATATAAAGCATGAATAATACTCGTACATCTCTTGCAAGGGGGGGGGAGAGAGAGAGAGAGAGCAGCACATTATCCTTCAGCTAGGTTCATCTTGTAGACACAATGGTGATCTTACCTGACTGTGGTGTGTGGGGCTGCTGGTCCTTCTGCTGAAGTGACGGACTGGTGATATTAGAACCACTGACAGGAGTGGCTGGGTTACTGGCGTTTAGAGGTCGGGGGGAGTCACCTGGTCCAGTCATTCTCATCCCCCCTCCCGGTCCGCCTCCCGGCATGCGAGGGGATGTCATGGCACACATAGAAGGTGACCCAGGGGATGGTAAGGGCCCATTACCTATAGGACGTGGACCATGGTATGGGGGAGGTGGCCCCTGCATGCGAGCACCAGGCCCCATGCCACGCATGCCACCAGGACCCATGTTACCACTCATAGAGCCAGGCATCATAGGTCCTCCTACCATGTGACTGCCCATACCCATTGGTCCTCCTGGTCCCATAGGTCCACCTGGACCCATAGGACCACCTGGACCCATAGGGCCTGGACCCATAGGACCCCCAGGACCCATTGGCCCACCAGGACCCATTGGACCCCCGGGACCCATTGGACCCCCCGGACCCATTGGCCCACCGGGACCCATTGGCCCACCGGGACCCATTGGACCCCCGGGACCCATTGGACCCCCGGGACCCATTGGACCCCCGGGACCCATGGGGCCCCCAGGACCCATTGGACCCCCAGGACCCATTGGACCTCCTGGACCCATTGGACCTCCAGGACCCATTGGACCTCCAGGACCCATTGGACCTCCAGGACCCATTGGACCTCCAGGACCCATTGGACCTCCAGGACCCATTGGTCCCATTGGACCCATTGGGCCCATGGAGCCATCAGGGCATCCTGGACCACCCTTTTTTCTCTTGCTTTCAAAAAATTCTGCTTGCAATCTTTGCCATTCGGCTTGAGCTGCCATGGATGATGCAGGATTAGGTCCAGCCATCATCATTGACTGAGGTCCTCCAGGGCCCATTCTCATGCCTGGGACACCTGGACCCATTGGGCCACCCATCATGTTTGCCTGTGAGGTCATCATCATGTTATTTCCCATGTGGCCCTGACTCATCATTACCCCACTCTGGGACACCATGGAGTTTGGGCCACCTGGACCCATCATACCTGGTGACATGCCCATTCCAGGCCCTGGACCCATACCAGAACCCATGCCTGGTCCTGGTCCCATACTAGTGTTAGGCATGCCTGGACTTGGACCCATTCCTGGACTAGGCCCCATTCCCGGTGAGGGTCCCATGGTCGGACTAGGGCCCATGCCAGGAGAAGGTCCCATTCCACTAACAGGAGAAGGACCCATACAGGTGACAGGTGTAGCTTGGGAACAAGATGGGCCGGACTGCGAAACTTGTGATGGTGCTTGACTTTGAGAACATGGCATCATATTTGCTACACTTTGACCTTGAGAGCAAGGAGGCTGGCTTCCAGGATGACCATTATCACTTTGGCTTGGAGAATGTAACTCTGGTAATAATAATGCTTGCATGTGACGTATCCGAGCCATTTGTTCTTCTCGATGCTGACGTTGTTCTGGGGTGAGGTGGTCATCTGGAACTTTAACACCTGCTGGGGCACCTGCAAACATGGTAAAATATGTTAACAAAATTTTCTCTAACTGAACAAGTGAAGCTTGACACATGGTTTACAAAAACAATGAATGAATCAAGGCTTCCACATTCTCACTGGAGATCACTTGTTCACCATGCTTATTTGCCTGACTTTGGTCTTCCACTGGAACAATATAATTTTTGTCACTCACTGATACTCGGAGGGCAGAAAGCACTAGTATAAAAAGTAATATGTTTAGATTCAATAGCTTTATGTACAGACGGCACAAAACATCCATTAGACTGTGACATTGTAATTGCCAGAATTTGACTGGGATATCAATACCTGTGGCAGGTGCTGCAGGTAATGAATCCCTCAATAATGAGTATTCCAATTGTAAGCTATGTGAACAAGAGGTAGGACACATTACATTTGTGAGTGTCTTGTTATAAATGACTTCAGATCAAATGGTATGTGATACTTTCAGTTCTTAACTACAGTACTTCATGCACTCACAAATATTGGGAGATATTCTTGTGCTCTACTCTAGTTTGCTAGTGCAGGTTAGTGACTTGCATCTCATGTTTCTCTCGATTCCACATATGACTAACCATCCTGCGAGATGGGGATATTAGATGAATTCATAGTTGGCTCTTTATATATATACTTTGTAATCCTTCATATAGAACAAGCTAGCAGTACACTTATGTGTACACTGCTTAATTAAAAAAAAAAAAACAAACAGTTCTAATAGTATTTTGTTATACTGTACATGTTGTATTCCAGTGATGTAATCCAGTTAATTGCTAGCCATTAACAACTCAGTTTACATCTTACAATGGATCACCAAATCCTTCACCCGAAGACATTATACCTTGTGTGATCTTGATACGACATCAACCATGCTTGTTTCTTGATAACTGGTCTGCCACCTCCACACGTTTTACACAACTTCATTGTTAATTAACTTTTTTTTTTAGGTAACCAAGTTAGGTGAATAGAAATTGTCATTTTGTAATGAGGATAAGATAGAAAAAATGAAACGTTAATACAGTATACTCACAAACAATTTGGATTGAACTGAAATAAATTCAGACGAGGATTCAAAATTTATACAGGATCACTAATAGATTTATGTAATGAAAGATTGGTAAATTGCAGCTAATTATTGATAAATGCTGGGTTCTGATTTTAGATGATAATAAAGTTACCAGATATTGACTGATTAATGACATTCACAACTCTTGAATGTGAAACAACTCTGGGAGTCATGATGAGCAGGAATCTTAATCCAAGAAAACAGCATATAAATGTTCAGTAAAAAACAAACAAGATACCGGAATTCATAGCTAGACACATTAGTAATAAGACCTCTAATGTTGTTGTTTTCAGTTTTACGCTTGTTAGCCCCATTAGGATTGTGCAATTTAGTTTTGGGCACTGTACTTACAGTATAGAAATTCCCTTGAAAGTGTACAGAGAAGGATGACAAGTTTAATCCTAGGATAAGGAACCTTCCATATGTACAGAGTGCACATAATTATTGTTTTCAAGAAAAGCAGAGACACGTGGGACATGATTATGGTATACAAATGAATGAAAGCTTGTGATGAGAAATATTTATTAGGGGGGCTAAGTTTAGATTCAGACAAGTGGGTAAAAATACTGATTTGAAAATAGGGTTGTAGGTTTATAGAACAAGTTGCCAGGTAACATAATAGGGGTCACCAGATTGTTCATAGTGTAGGTTAGACACGCGAGTACATGTGATTGTGTATAAATAGCTGACTTGCATCGATCCGTGTATCTTCTTCTACAAGATGGAGGAAACTGCAGAAGACTTTCTAAATGAAGATAAAAAAAGGTAATTATCAAAAGAAATACAGATAGAAGGACATACTAACCTTGTACTCTTGGTCCCATCATGGACACCATCATTTGTCCTGGTGGCCCTGGCATCCCTGGTCCTCCAGGGCCACCAGGACCCATCATGCCTGGTCCTCTTGGTCCCATCATTCCAGGTCCACCATTAGGCCCTGGGCCCATCATACCACTGGGGCCTCCAGGACCCATCATGCCAGGGCTGCTCATGTCTCCGTGACCCATCATTCCACCAGGCCCTTCACCCTGTTTAGATAATATACAGATTTATTCCCTCTATATTTTATTCATATTGTCTATAAAGGATCTCTTGCTTTGAAATTAAGATCTCAAACAGTACCTAATATTACCATGAAAAGTGGATAAAAGTATAGTACAGTATTATAATGAAAAGTGAACAAAAGAATAATGTTTATCATGAAAATAACAAATATACAAAAACAGTTTAAGAGTTTGCATTCGGCACCATTTTTCCACAATGTGTGTGTACTGTATACAGTGGTACCTTCGTGTACGACTGTCCTAGAATACGATTTTTTTGGTGTACGACATCAAATTCATCATAAAATTTGAATTGGTGTACAGTACGACGTTTTAAATGGAAGACGACGTTTGTTGATACACGTATGGATCGAACGAGCGTGTGATGCTGAGGACGCGGGGTGAGTGACACTTTGTTTACCAGTGTATCCTGCGTAGCGACAACCGCGACCGCGGTTAAATTCTTTGTAAAGAATTAGTTGTTCCTGTGCTTTTTTGTTCTTTAACATAAAGGTCCCAAGAAAGTCAGTGGTAAAGTTCAGCCGAAGAAAATAGTTGTGAGGATGACAATAGAGGAAAAACATGAGATCATTCATAGTGAGACAATGTGATATCTCACTACAGACAAGTGTTAAAAACGTGGGAAAAAACAAGTATCTATAGACAGATTCTTGGTAAGACAAGCAAGCAGTGAGCCACAACCAGGTCCTAGTGGTATGCCTGCAAAACTTAAGAGAGAGAGAGTATCCCAGAAATGTCATCACTTCTGCTATAATGGAAGGGGATTCCCCTTCCAAACACTAATACCTCTCCTCCTCACTGTCTTTCAAACGCCAATAAGAGTCCTCACTAAAGGCAAGATATACATACTGTAGTCAAAAATGACCCATATTCAGTACAAAATGTATTTTTAAGTTAATATTTTTGGAGGTGTGGAACAGATTAATTCAATTTACATTATTTCTTATGGGAAAATTCATTTTGGCGTACAAATTTTTGGTGTACAATGTGTCTCTTGGAACGGATTAGGATCGTAAACAAAGGCACCACTGTATCTATGAAATCTATTTAAATTTTTCACTGATGAAGAAGACTAACAAACTGATACTTACCATGGGCCCCATCTCCCCTCCAGGTCCCATAGGTCCACATGGTCCCATGGGCCCACCAGGTCCCATGGGCCCATTAGCCATCATAGGGCCATTAGGAGCCATAGGACCTTTTATATGGCCTCCCTTGGTGTTTTTCACAACAAAGTTGGTCAACCAATGAGCTGGGTTATGTCGGACAAACTGGGTGGTCTTCAATGGGTGTTTCTGTATGAATGTTAATAAGTTAATAAGACTAATACAATTAGTAATGATGCCTGTAATAAATATTTCAGCAACTACATCTACACATGAATTAATGTATGTTCAAGATATATTCAGGTATATAGGTAATATTTTGCTATAGTGTACAGTACACTCCTGGTTCTATGTAGAGATTTCTTCCCAGAAAGCTTACACGCTGACTTATTCAAAATTTTTATGGTACGTAAATGGATTTATGTGCATAAATGAAAGTTTCGAACAATACCTCTAGTAATTTTTTTGTGCCAGGCTGAGCACAGTGATAGGCAATGATATTATTGTAGGATCCCTGTATAACAGCCTCGGCAGCCTTGTTGGCCAGGAGGGTCGTGAACACGAATATCTGGCTTTGTTGCTGCATGTACTGTGCGTCACTGGTCGACACTCCTGCCCCAGACCCGCCCTTCACCCCCATGCCCATGCCCGGGCCCAGGCCGCTCCCATCCCCTCCATCTGCAAAGAAAGTAATCTTAAATGTGGTGCAAGGTACCGTACTGTATATCAACCTTATGGCACTACCTATAGTAATTTTTAAAGCATTCATCTGGGAGTGGTACTGTCAATAATACAGCACTGATAACACATGAAATCATCAATAACGTACAGGATAGTGTATATTTATTTCTGAAATAAATGCCTGCAGTTTACTTTTTTTATTTTAAGTTTAGTCACCATATTTTTTTCATAAAGTTCACTTCTTATTGCAAATCTAATACAATAATTTGTTCTCAACAATATGATTTAATGTTATAATTGAAAAACAAAAAACTAACAATCAAAATTTCTATAGAACTTAGAAGGAGCTTTTACAATACTGTATATAAAATGCTCACAGGATACATATATGCATATGACTTTAAAAAATAAAAATAAAAATAAAAATTAGTAAGGACAGTAGCAAAGAAAGCAAAAATTGGTCATGCTATCGTAAATCACCAAATTAAATTTGTTAACATTCATATTTCACATAAGTATTTTTCTTTGGACAGGGCCTACTGTATGGCTATGGGAAATGATAACAATAACATGCCCTTTTCAGAACAACCAATTTCTGTGACGGTTATATCTGCCCTTTTTTAGAACAGTTATTTTCTGTAATAACATTTGCGACTCTCAGCTGACTAACGACAACTGTATAATGCACGCAACATCCTATCTTGAGGTTATCTCGAGATGATTTCCGGGCTTAGCATCCCCGTGGCCCGGTCCTTGACCAGGCCTCCTTTGTGTTACACCCCCTCAGGAAGTAGCTCATAATAGCTGTCTAACTCCCAGGTACCTATTTACTGCTAGGTGAACAGGGACATCAGGGTGAAATAAACACTGCCAATTTGGTTTTGCCTCCACCGGGGATCGAACCCGGAACCTTAGGACTACGAATCCCGAGCGCTGTCCATTCTGCTGTCAGGCGCCTCTGCACTAAATTGCTCCTCTTTTTAAATTTTATTAATTACATTTTGGTTAGTGGACACATTTCTTGTGAGTTACTGATTTTAACAATGTTAGTGATGTGAACTAAACTATTCTATACCACCTCACCTCCAGCTCTCCAGATATATTGTTCTCGGTTCCAAATTCCCACCTTACATGAATGCTGAATACACCGAGTGGAATTTGATGCTGTCACAGATTTAAAAAGGCTTTAAAAATACAATACTGTGGCTAATGTATTCTATTCTATTATGATATTTGTTAATCCCTAGCAAAAATACTCAACATATATATTATATCTCTACAGAAAGTAAGTCACAATAATGAGGCTGAAAATTAAAAGATATCCAACCCACAAATTTGAAAAGAAAGAAAGTGACGATATTTCAGTTCATCCAGGAACACCAAAAGTCTATACAGTACATATATATAATGATCCACACTGGACCTAAACACTCGTCACTTTTGTTTTCTTCATATTTTGTGGGTTGGGTTTGTATAATAGTGTGGGTAACCACCACTACAGTCTAGGAACAGTTTCAGTAAGTGTGCACACAATGGAGAGTATTGGTGGTATTATATCCTACCTGGTGCGTGGAGGTGGGGTAGTGAGGCACCCTCCAGGCTGCCAACGCCCCCGCAGACACCCGGCACTCTACACCCGTCAACCTCACCCATAACGTTACAACCTGCCGGCACCATGGGTACCCATGCTCACCATCCCGCACTCACTATATACTGTATATATATATATATTGACAACTTTTCTTCCCACTCAAAATATTTCAATCCCAAGGTTTTTGTCTACTTTCCAAAAACAATTCAAAATACTGTATTTTCTTCTCATTTTTGGGGGATACTACTACCATTGAAAACCATTATAAAAGCAAACTTCTTCACACATTATAGACTTTGCTTAATTAAGATGTTAGCTGGTAAAATAATCATAATTCAGAATACAGCACAACAACTTTGTTGTAACTGAAAATGCTCACAATCATCACTATGCTCAGTAAAAATCGAGTATCAGCTATACTGATTATATTCTAATCTTTACTTCATACAAAATGTGAAGACTTGCTGTTATAATTAGCCAATTTTTCATTTCTTAATCTCTCAAATACTGAATAAAGAGGACTAAATGAATGACTATGAAATGTACAAATATTGTATAGCTAATCAAGATGCCAGCAATTAACACTAATGAAAGAAATTTACATTTATAAGCAGAGCAAGAATGTTGGTCGACAACCTGAATTTGCTTACCTTCACTAGTGTGTGGTGGAGTGGTGGTAGTGGTGGTGGAGGTAGTGGTGGCAGTGGTGGTGGTGACAGTGGTAGTGGTGGTAGTGGATGACGTCGTGCTGGGCTTTATATCTCCTTCTGGGCCTCCATTAGCTATTTCCGTTTTGATCTGTTAAATAATTCTCAATATTAAAACTGCAACATAATACTGTAGAGTATGTACTAATTTATCTAAAAGTAATAAGTGTACAATAATTTCTGTATCACATAAATATTTCAAGGCGGTTGTATTCTACAATGATGTGATCTTTAGTATACAAGAGGGGTAATAAAGCATAGACAGGGCATGTGAGCAGAGATGGGTATATCTGACCTTGGCAGTGGCTCCTTTATTGTTGTTGTTGGCATTGGTGTTGTTGTTGTTGTTGTTGCCTGGGCAGGTGGGCGTGGGCTTGGACACGAGGTCATCTCCATTGAGACACGGGGTGGTGGCGGTCGCAGCGTCGGGGTCAGGCTTGACCTCTGCACCCAGCTCCTGCTTGATGGTGGGTGTTGTGAGGGGTGTTGTAGCGTGGGTGTTGTTGGCCTTACTACGCCTCCCACCACTGTTGCCCGTCTTCAACACCCCGCCACCACCACCCTCATCCTTCACACCCCCGGCGCCACCCCCGCTACCCTGCTTCACCGTCCCCCGCATACCCCTGCAAACATGTTACACACATCACACTATTGTACTTAAATCACGTATCAAAACCATTTAAAACACACATTTTATAATATATATATGTATAAAATTGATAAACTAACTCCCCAAAATTCATTCATTATTTCTGGTCTGAGGCCTGAACGCGTTTCGTAATGCTTATTACATTTTCAAAGACTTTGTTTATAAATAAAATACATCATACTTATACTCGTTTTGGGTGAGGTGATATGGTACAAAAGTTTTGGGTGAGGTGACGGAGCATATGCCAGAACACGAAACAATAGGTATAAATTGGGTGTGAAAACATAAGAATGGAAGTAACTGCAGAGAACCTATTGGCCCATACTTCCTCTTGCTGCTTCTATGTTGGTTCGGGATCTTGAAGTGGGTAGAATATAGTTGTGCATTAATTGGCTGTTGATTGCTGGTGTTGACTTTATGTGTAGTGCCTCACTGATGTCGAGTCTCCTGCTATCCTGCATTTATCGATGATTTCTGTGTTGCTTGTTAAGATTTCTCTGGTGATGGTCTGGTTGTGAGAAGAGATTGTATGTTCCTTCATGGAGCCCTGTTGTTTGTGCATAGTTAATCGCCTAGAAAGAAACGTTGTTGTTTTTGCCTATATACTGAGTTCTTTGGGGCTTACAGTCCCCAAGCGGGCATGTGAAGGAATAGACGACGTTGGTTTCCTTCAGGGCGTTATGTTTGGCGCCTGGGGAGTTTTTCATAAGTAGGTTGGCCGGTTTGTTTTTGTAGTAAATTGTCAATTGTATTTTCAGATTTTTGTCCATATATATTATACATTGTCCATACATATATATGGACAATTATGATTTCTGTGCGATGACGTGTTTTGAAGGGATATCTGCGTGCGCGCGCGTGTGTGTGTACTCACCTATTTGTGCTTGCGGGGGTTGAGCTTTGGTTCTTTGGTCCCTCCTCTCAACTGCCAATCAATTTGGGTGTGTGTGTGTGTGTATTGTTAAGTTTTAGTCCAAGTACTGTGGTTGCTGGGGAGACAGGTATGTAAGTGGGAATGGGAGATCATGAAGATAATTTTAGTGGTACTGTATTTTTGCCCTTGTTATTAGAGAAATATGTGATTGTTGACAGCTGTGTGTATCTGGATAATCCAGTTATATTCCCATTGTGGGAATCGATTGATATCGTCTTCAGATTTACGAGTCAAATTGTCTACTGATCTACCTGTGATAAGTTGCGTGACATCGCCGGTATAGCAAACAGTGAGTGAGTGAGTGAGTGAGTGAGTGAGTGAGTGAGTGAGTGAGTGAGTGAGTGAGTGAGTGAGTGAGTGAGTGAGTGAGTGAGTGAGTGAGTGAGTGAGTGAGTGAGTGAGTGAGTGAGTGAGTGAGTGTGTGAGTGAGTGAGTGAGTGAGTGAGTATGTATAGAGGCTTGTGGTACATGGTGTCGGAGCTAGACACACTGGAACCGATTGATGAAGATTAAGTCACCCAAGAGGTGGCACGGACATAAATAGCCTTAGATTCAGCTACTCGGAACAAAAGTTCCAAGTAGCACGGGCTATGGTGAGCCCGTAGTGGACTTACCTGGCACAGGAGTGGGGCTGTAACTGCGGTGCATTGGAGCCCGGAACCCCCTCAAGTTATACGCTTGCAAGGTGAGATCTCACAAGACTTATACCACTTCTTGAGTGGCTTGATCTTAATAAATCATCAATCAATCATCGCTCTTTGCGTTGCTTCTGATGATCAACGTCCCTGCGGCCCGGTATCTGACCAGGCCTCTTGGTTGGTGGGCTGGTCAACTACACTATTAGACAGAACTGCTCACAGCCTGGTTGATCAGGTATCCTTTGGAGGTGTTTATCAAGTTCTCTTTTGAACACCGTGACAGGTCGGCCAGTTATGTCTTTACGTGTAGAGGGAGAGTTAGTTGTCTTGGGTCCTTAACGCTGATAGAGTTCTCTCTCAGCGTACCTATTTGTACCTATTTCAACGGGCATCTTGCACACCTTGCCATGCCCTCCCCCCCCCCACTGGTCTCATGCACAGACCAGGGGCTTTGTGGAGTTCTTTAGCAGATTTGGAACAAGTCCCTTTAATATTTTCCAAGTGTAATTTATTACGTCTCTTTCCCGCCTGAGTGAATTCTAGCAGTAAAAGATCTTTCACATTCTCTAGGTCAGCAGTTTCTCCTGCTTTGAATGGTGCTGTTAGTGTGCAATATTATCCCACCATAGAGAGTATCAGTCATACAAAGTACCATCTTGTTGGTGTTAAAGTTCAGCATCTCTTGTTTGAAAAGTTCTTGTTATCCAACCAGTTATTTTTCTTGCAGCTGCCACAGTTACTTTATAAGTGTTCTTTAAGAAAGTAAGGTCTTCAGACGATATTACTCCCACATTTGTTACACCTACTTTTTCTTTTACAGGATATCTTGAGGTTATCTTGAGATGATTTTGGGGTTGATTGAACTGAATTCACGTGGCTATCATTTTGATATTATCGTTTTCTATAGCGCAGTAGCTGGAGCTTATATTATGTTCTGTATCCCAATGAAAGACCTGATTTACACCAGCTTGAATTCTGCTCCTGTTGGATTTGAGACTGGATGCACCAGTCTGATGCACTGATGCATCAGTGATCAGTCTGACTGTGAGAAACTGCGCCTGTCTGAACTTGGAGTCGGTTGTGATCTGAGGAACAACAGGTATTTGTAATCAACATCAGGAGGTGAGGAAGACTTACCTAGCTCTGCTGATAGTGCCTTACGTGCCGCTCCTGTGCACCGCTAGCTGTAGGAAGCGTCTCACCGTTCCCGATACCACCATCTGCAACACAACACAACAGTTAGGAGAATGCGATGATTGATTGATGAAGATTAAGCCACCCAAGAGGTGGCACGGGCATGAATAGCCCGTAAGTGGTGGCCCTTTTGAGCCATTACCAGTATCAAGAGCTGATACTGGAGATCTGTGGAGGCGCGACTGCACCCTGCGTGACGGGAGATGTCTCCCGGACCAAGTGGTGACCAGATGGTGGAGAATGCGGCAGCTTCAATCACAGGTAAATGCACCACAAATAATCCAGAAATCTGCACAAAAATTACTCCTACCTGGTCAGTTTCCCCAGCTGTATGGGAGGGGGGGGAGGCTCTCCCAACACAACAATCCCCATCCATCAAGATAATTCCTGAAAGCTCCCTATTCCCCCACTTCCCCTTTTGGAAAATCCCACAATCCATTTACCAAGACAATCACAATTCTTTGCAGACATTCCCCACACAACCAGACCGGTCTGTTTACCTACCAGGGCACTCCAGCTACTATCAGGGAACTTCCCCGCCCCCGCGGGGACACCTTTCCCCACCCGCCTGGACACCTTCCCCCCCCCCCCACCCCCGCGGGACAATGAGACAAAGCGGCGGGAATAAAAGAGAAGAGAATCATGACGCAATAAATAATCAGTAATATGGAGGCCTTACCAGGACCGCCGGCACCAAATGAGCCCCACTCCCCTCCGCCCCCCCCACCCCCACCCACTCCGAATCTCTCACACACACGCCCGCGCTCCCACCCACCAGTCACAGCTCAAGTCACTAGCATAAACAAATCCACAAGGGCCGTGACGAGGATTCGAACCTACGTCCGAGAGCATCCCAGACGCTGCCTTAATCGACTGAGCTACGACATGGTTAAAAGAATTGCAACCAGGAAATCATCCTGATTTACCACGGTTGATTCATCCTGATTTGGTTCGTTCATTTGATCCATCACGCAATTGTGATTTGTATAATGAAGTAGAACGGCTTATTGACACGGCTCGGGTGCATGGGGGGAGTTGTGTAAAACCCTGGTCTGTGTCTCGGAGAGGCTGCAGGAACCGTTGATAAATCAGGATGATTTCCCGGTTGCAATTCTTTTTTTTAACCATGTGGTAGCTCAGTCGATAGTCTACTCAGTCTACTCTGCCTTAAGTAGCTTAAGGCAGCGTCTGGGATGCTCTCGGACGTAGGTTCGAACCCTCGTCACGGCCCTTATGGATTTGTTCATTTGATGCATCAGGCTATTGTGATTTCTGTGTGTAGTGTAGTGTCACTGGTGTGAGTGAGTGAGTGAGTGAGTGAGTGAGTGAGTGAGTGAGTGAGTGAGTGAGTGAGTGAGTGAGTGAGTGAGTGAGTGAGTGAGTGAGTGAGTGTGAGAGTGAGTGAGTGAGTGAGTGATAAAGTTCATCAGGCAGCCAATAGCTACAAGCAGGGCCTGGAGAGGCGAAGTATAACACACTGGATAATATGAGCATAAGAGCCCACAAGAGCCATCAGAGGCAGCGGTGGTGTAGTCACAGCTACTGAACACCACTACACAGCCAGCCAGGTCCCTACACCACATGGCTGGAGTGATATGACCCACACCTGATTGGTCTAAGACATTACCACTTACTCCCTAAGACAGAAGGAAAGGTGAGGGGAGACACGATGAATACTCAGTGACACATGATGGGTTATGAAGAGTTGGATAAGGAATATATCAATCCTTACAAGTTGACCAGAGGGAGGGAACTATCAGGGCGTAAGCGTCAAGCCATTACGACTATATAGCACTTGCAAGGGGTCAGGATAAGGATTTGGGATGGGACGGAGGGGAAGTAATGGTGCCTAGCCACTTGGACGGTCGGGGATTGAACGCCAGGTGAGAAACAAGTGTGTGGGAGATAAGACAGGTGTTTCTTCTCACAGCTGTGAGAGGCAAAATGCACCTCAGAACTATATATATATATATATATATATATATATATATATATATATATATATATATATATATATATATATATATATATATATATATAACTCAAAAATATTATATATAAATATATATAACTATATTGAGTTATTTATATTATATAGTATTTATATTATAGTTATATATATTTATATATAAATATATATATTTAATGAGTTATTTCCGTGTGAAGATTTAGCACCAGTCCCTCTAATATTTACCAAGTGTCAACTATTCAACCCGTCCCCCTGATAAGACAGTACTGTTTATAACTAGGTGGATAGTACAACTATCGACGTGATGGACATATTGAAATTAGAATTTGATACTATTCACTTTATAGTTTCTGGAAAAGGATAATTATGAAAACTAACTTAAATATTCATAGATTTAGTTTAGCACATGTAATATTAGGCCTTAGGCAGTGTGCATTAGGCCTACGATGGTTAGGTTTCATTAGCAACAACAACAATCTTTTCCGGTTTGTCCAAATTCATTGATATAGAAGTCAACTTTCTACTGGACCATCACGTCCATATATGAACCATCTTGAGGTTATTTTGAGATGATTTCGGGGCTTAGCGTCCCCGCGGCCCGGTCCTCGACCAGGCCTTCTTTTTGTTACACACTCCCAGGAAGCAGCCCGTAGCAGCTGTCTAACTCGCAGGTACCTATTTACTGCTAGGTAACAGGGGCATCAGGGTGAAAGAAACATTTTGCCCATTTGTCTCCGCCTTCACCGGGTATCGAACCCGGAACCTCAGGACTACGAATCCAAAGCGTTGTCCACACAGCTAACCATAGACCATATCGTTACTGTATGTACTGTCATTTATGGAGGCCGGGCTGAAATTATTATGCACCTTTCACTTGGCCTCTAGTTAATACAGATTACAAAATGTTATGGAGTCCCAGTAATTGTGATGTTTTATTGAATGGATTCGAAAAGTTAAAGATCTCTGCACGTTTTCAAAGTCAACAACATCTCCAACAATGAATGGGGCTGTTGTTGTGTACCAATACTCCACCCTAGAGAGCAGTGGTGTCAGAGTCATAGGTATGGCATTTCTTGTCTGAAAAGTTCTTGCAATCCAACCTGTCATTTTTCTTGCAGTTGTGACAGCTACAAGAAAGCAGTTGATGAAGATTGATGAAGATTAAGCCACCGAAAAGGTGGCACGGGCATGAATAGCCCATAAGTGGTGGCCCTTTTAAGCCATTACCAGTATCAAGAGCTGATACTGGAGATCTGTGGAGGTGCGAATGCACCCTGCATGACGGGAGATGTCTCCCGGACCAAATGGTGACCAGATGGAGAAAGCAGTTGATTGAGTGATTGATGAAGATTAAGCCACCCAAAAGGTGGCACGGGCATGAATAGCCCGTAAGTGGTGGCCCTTTTAAGCCATTACCAGTATCAAGAGCTGATACTGGAGATCTGTGGAGGTGCGAATGCACCCTGCATGACGGGAGATGTCTCCCTTATGAATGTGTTAAGATGAAGATGAAGCAACCCAAAAGGTGGCACGGGCATAAATAGCCCGTAAGTGGTGGCCATTTTAAGCCATTACCAGTATCAAGAGCTGATACTGGAGATCTGTGGAGGTGCGAATGCACCCTGCATGACGGTCTCCCTTGTGAATGTGTTAAGATGAAGATGAAGCCACCCAAAAGGTGGCACGGGCATGAATAGCTCGTAAGTGGTGGCCCTTTTGAGCCATCACCAGTATCAATAGATGATACTGGAGATCTGTGGAGGTGCGACTGCACCCTGCGTGACGGGAGATGTCTCCCGGACCAAATGGTGACCAGTTGACAGTTGGAAGGGGGATCAGCCACCCCCCCCCCACAGCCACCGTGGGAGGGGGGGGATCAGCCCCCCACAGCCACCATGGGAGGGGGGGATCAGCCCCCACAACCACCGTGGGAGGGGGGGATCAGCCCCCCCACAGCCGTAGCGTCAGTGGCAGAGCGCAAGACAAACTCACCACCATTGTTTGCCTAACTTTAAAATGGTCCGCGCTGCCCCCCTCCCCCTCCATGCTTCTTCTTCTGTATCGATCCGTGTGTGTGTACTCACCTAATTGTGCTTGCGGGGGTTGAGCTCTGGCTCTTTGGTCCCGCCTCTCAACCGTCAATCAACTGGTGTACAGATTCCTGAGCCTATTGGGCTCTATCATATCTACATTTGAAACTGTGTATGGAGTCAGCCTCCACCACATCACTTCCTAATGCATTCCATTTACTAACTACTCTGACACTGAAAAAGTTCTTTCTAACGTCTCTGTGGCTCATTTGGGTACTCAGCTTCCACCTGTGTCCCCTTGTTCGCGTCCCGTCCCGTGTTGAATAGTTCATCCTTGTTTACCCGGTCGATTCCCCTGAGGATTTTGTAGGTTGTGATCATGTCCCCCCTTACTCTTCTGTCTTCCAGTGTCGTAAGGTGCATTTCCCGCAGCCTTTCCTCATAACTCATGCCTCTTAGTTCTGGGACTAGTCTAGTAGCATACCTTTGGACTTTTTCCAGCTTCGTCTTGTGCTTGACAAGGTACGGGGACGGGCTCCATGCTGGGGCCGCATACTCCAGGATTGGTCTTACATATGTGGTGTACAAGATTCTGAATGATTCCTTACACAGGTTCCTGAACGCCGTTCTGATGTTAGGCAGCCTCGCATATGCCGCAGACGTTATTCTCTTTATGTGGGCTTCAGGAGACAGGTTTGGTGTGATATCAACTCCTAGATCTTTCTCTGTCTGTTTCATTAAGTACTTCATCTCCTATTCTGTATCCTGTGCCTGGCCTCCTATTTCCACTGCCTAGTTTCATTACTTTGCATTTACTCGGGTTGAACTTCAACAGCCATTTGTTGGACCATTCACTCAGTCTATCCAGGTCATCTTGTAGCTTCCTACTATCATCCTCTGTTTCAATCCTCCTCATAATTTTTGCATCGTCGGCAAACATTAAGAGGAACGAATCTATACCCTCTGGGAGATCATTTACATATACCAGAAACAGTATAGGTCCAAGGACTGACCCCTGCGGGATTCC